GACTCATCAATGAAATGCATGAAATGAAAAGTCTTCCCCTGGGCATTTGTCCAATAAGCCCCATCGGCTCCGACAACATCATTGAAATCCAGGTTTTCATGAATGCGACTTGGTTGGGACAACTTTGGTCGATTTTGGGTTTCAACACAAGTATCACAACTCATATCTTTCGCCCCGGCTACAATCTCAGGCTTAGCCCCTCGTTCCGTGAGAAAACGAACCATCTTATCAGGATCAGGATGACCAAGATTGTTGTGCAAACGCCTAAGCTCAACTTGTTCCCCCTTATCCAACATGAGAAACCCAGGCCCCGATTTAGGGATAATTCGGGGGACCCATGCAAAATTTTCCCCATTGGAATTGGAGGGCTCGGCCATGACTTGATCTTCATTTGGAACGCAGACCGGAGACTGGCCTTCGGCACTGTCTCGGTCGGAACTGACAGCGGCACTCGGAGGATCCACCACAACACCATCTTCATCCTTAATCCCAAAAATAGAGAGTGAAATTCTGGCTGCCCCAGTGGACCTGATCTGCCGAGCACGTGTGAGCGTGCTCCATTTTTCGGGAGGCCCCAAATCAACAATCTCCCCCGAGTTGCGTGCCACCAAGACTGTTTTCCGCCAGGGAAACACTTCACAGTTTGCTGCGGCCGGCTGGATACGGTGTCTGTCTGTACCCCGGCATGCAACCACCAGTTTCACTGTCATGTCAGGCACCAGTTGTTGAACCATTCGGAACACGGCATCACCCTCTTCCCCCTTATAGAAAGCATTTCCTACTCTTGGGGTGGAATGTCCAGCTTGACGGAACACATCATGCCATGTGGGTGCTTTGCCATACAGTGAATTTTCTGGTTGTTTCAAGCTGACGCGACGTCTTTTCTGGAGCTGCAATGCCTCTTGTGCCATTTCGGGACGTTCGTGATCCTCAAGGCCTAAAACCATTTCTTCTAAAACCAAAGGAGTTTCCCGATGTCGGGATTCGGCCAAAAGAACCCTAGCAACTCGCCGTGCGAACTGTGAGGTGTATGTTTGTGCATAGTGTGACACTGTTTTCCATGAACCCTCATGTTTGAACTTTCCTTGAATTGGTTGGTGATCATGATCACCTCGACATGTTTGTGTGTTGAGATTCAAAAAGAGTGTCCGACATGTGGTGTTTAAAGTGGTCCTTTTCCTGAGAAAACCTGAGGCTGAAGGCAATCTAAGCTTCCCAACCTGGCACATATCAAAAGTGGCTGGCAGCGTTCCCAGAGCCATGTCGGACAGTTCCGGCTGAGCAGTCATCTCTGATCCTTGTGGTTGTTCATGATGGTAGTGCCGTGACTGACTCACCTGATGAAGGTACAACTGATTACATAACATCAAATGTGGTATATCAGCTTCCCTCCGTTCCATGATTTGATCCAACATCTTTACACTTCGTCCCATGTTGAACCTTGAGAAGTTTCCCCATAGTTTGCATTCGGGTGCTACCCATATGTTGCGGGGTTCCAACAAGTAAATCCATGACCACAGTTTCTTCTGACCCGATGATGTTCCCAGATCCCCATCTTGCTTGGTAAATCGAACTGCTCTACCCCCCAAAAGATTAACTTGCTTGGTTAATTGGGACTCAGTATCGCAGTAGACTTCAAGAAGATCGATCCCATTGGTGGTCTTGGTCATACTTTTCTTTAAATTGGAATTCCCCAACATGTTGAGATTCTTTCCCCGACATTTATATACCCGTTCACTTTTGAACACATATGCCGGATCTTTTTTGAGTGTGGACAAATCGCCCTCGATTTGGTGGGTAAGATTATTCAATTTCTCTGCCATCTGGATCAGTTGCTCTCCGGATGTTGAAACACTTCGGTGCCCGACGTCTCCTTCTGCAGCTCGCGCTGCAAGATGGCAATCTGTGTCTGAATCTGCACGATCTTCTCCTTGTTGGGCTGGGTCTCCATCTTGGTCGTTGGATTGTCGAGGACCCTCTTGCCCTTGTTCCCCTCGCATGGAACCGATGTTTCCACCGGTATCTGGGTCCATTCCTCGAGATCGGACTGCTTGTCCTTCTCCTTGAGCTTGCCCTGACTGATCGGCTGAGGCACTGTATTCGAGGCCATCGAAGACATCGGCGGCACTGGCATCTGCGGTGGTGTCATCGGAGGGCCCTGTGAAGTCGAAGGACTCCCCTGTCGGCCACGTCTCTTGGCCTCCTCGCTGGCCGCTCGACGAGCTCGACTGTACATCTGAAAACTTCGAACCCACGAGGACACCCCTCTGCGGTTCCACATCTGGTTGACATAGCCCTGGTCCAGTTCGTAGATGGCCGCGAAGCTCTTTGAAGCATGCTTGCCCGATGGAGCTTTGAGATACCCCCAATCCGTGAGAGTATTGATATCCGGAGGCCTCACCAAGGCCTGCGGAAGATCTCCGTGGGTGTGATAGCCCATCAGATTTCCATCCATGGGCGTGGTCAGCATGCGGTCGAGATAGTTCGGCCCTTGGAGATTCGCCATGTCGACCAGATGCGGTCTCACTGAAAATACCCCGGGCTGGACGATCTTGGTCACTCAGAAGAGCTGCGTTGCACGCAGAATCTTTTCGGTTCACTCGGCTCATACCTTGGTGATCATTAACTGAATTTTTCTTAGGAAACATGTTCTGAATTCCATCCTGAGTGGACATGTCATGCATATGGTGGGTGACGGCAGCATGAACCTGTGGCGTTTTCATGTTGTCATGTTTTGAATCATTCAGTTTGTCTCCAAGTGTTCCATCCGTTTTCAATGACATTGTTCCGTTTTCATGTCTCGTTTCGTTTGTGAATGATTCCTCAGTGGGTGCACAGAGTGTGTGTGAAGGTGCATCACTCAGGTGGGGAGTTTTGTTCAACAAATCAGTCACCTTCACTCCCAGCAGATTTTTCCGGACATGAAATAAAGGAATGGTCTCTTCACAACCACGAAAACCCAAACACTTTCCTTCAACATCAATAATACCCTTCAACCCTTTCAAAATGGCACTTGAGATCAGGAAAGGAGTATGTCCCGGCACGACTTCAATTCGAAGCCATCCTTTTTGCGCGCGAGGGAGCATGACAGCACAATTGCTCGTCAGTTTGCCAGCATTGCCAAACTTGAAAACAACACCTTCCGAGGGGACCTGCATAACCCTCTTTCCAATTTGGGGGGGTAAACTGCGAACCAACTTCTTCAACCGTTCAGCCCCTATGACGGCACGGCTGGCACCAGTGTCGATGATTGCTTCATCATCGGCCTCCTCTGCGCTAAAAATTGAAACAGCAGGTGCGGACGTCGTACCTGCATTCTTCAAATCCAGTGGATGGGCTTCGAAAGACACAGCAGCTCGAGCGTCGCAGGACATGTCATGTTTCCTACAACAACTTAAAAGTTTGTGGGTCAAGTTCATGGACCATTGTGTTGTTCCCAAAAAGCAACATTCAACCCGATCCGAACACTCAGCATGAAAAACATGTCCATGAATTTTTCCCAAGTCCTCCAGGTATGCCACAGCGCCCTGAGGAAGGTCATCAACGACTTCCACAGCAGCATCAAGCCCGATGTCCTCCGTGATGACCATCACCTCCTCATCGGTCTGAAGGATGCCCGTGAAGGATTCCATCTCATTTGGCTTTTTGCCCAAGCCTCCAGGAGTAGGAGTGGAAGAGAGAGGGCATTCTCTCTTCCAGTGACCGGCTTGTCCACATCGCCGGCAAGTGGAGTTCGCTATGCGATCTGCCAGGCTCCTGCGGCGACCCCCAAAGCTCTGATTGCCCTGAGCTCCAAAACGAGCACCACCCCCAGGAGACTTTCCCTTCTTGCCCTTTCCACGGCCTTTGGACCCCGTCACTGGCCAGAAACCACGGCCCTTGGCCTTGTCTCTCAGGCGCTGCCTGGCTTCCTGATAACTGGTAAAACAGGCAGCCAGGTCCTGACTTTCCTGACAGGCAGTCAGGATCTGCTCCTCGAACTCCTGTATGAACATGGCATCATCGTCACCACTTTCAAGCAGTTGCTGCATCAGGACGTCTTCATCCATCTCTTCCTCTTCCTGGTAGTAGATCGGCTCTTCATCAACATGGTTCACATCATATGTCTTTGTGCGGCCCTGAGTTTTGCCCTGGGTCTGCAAGTCCTGGAAAAACTTCGATCCCAACAACCGGATGCTCTTTCGAGCCAGATCATAAGAAAGATTTCCTGCACAATCCAATATGATCTTTTTGCGATCTTCGGCACCAAGGACACTTTGCCGAAGGAGCACGTATGCTCTGACATCTTCCAGCTGCACCTTTTGGCTCATCAGCTCCTCGAAGGCAGCATCATGCCGAGCCAAATAGGAGTCATTTGACTCATCACTTTTCTGCGAGGTCATGTACAAGGCTTTCTCAAACAAGTCAAATTTCTCCTCACTCGGAAGACGACCCCATTCTCCTCCGAGGGCCTCCACCAAGTACTTGACCCCGTCCTTGGACTTCAGGCGACCAGGGTCCAAACGTGACACCTTCTGAAAGGCTACCCCTTCAACTGCCATCGCAGCCCTTGGAGCAAGTTGATCCAGGTATTCGGCTGGCCACAGTTCTCGCAAGAACTGAAGCTTCTTGGAGTAGGTGCGAACATCTGTTTCGCCAGGTGTGAATCGTGGAATCTGATTCCACGGCACCATGGATCCCGGCAACCCAGATCCCGCTGCTTGCGCGTCCGCTGTAGAACCCTCCATGGCTCAGGTCTTTCCTAAGGAAAACTGTGTTGTACCTACCCCAGGTAAACAAATCCCCCTTAAGGAGCCTGTGATTACGCGGCAGCCCAAGGCTCCGCTACCAATGCGAATGTTTAGTGGGATCCCCAATCACACCTTACCGGAAAGCTGAACCCTGCCAGCCTGATCAACCCAATGCAGAGACCCTGCTGCTGCTTCCTGTTTCACCCGTAGCTCCTACCAAGGCTCAATGCCCTGTCCCGCCCACCACTAAGGACGGCGAGGCGGCCGGCGATGGATGCAAGCAGTGAAAAGCTGTTAAAGGTCAATGGAACCTGAGACATGGATGTGTATGACAAGTGGTTTCACCATGTACATATATATTTATATGTATATGTATATGTACATATATATATATATATATAAACCTTGGATCTCTGGATAGATATGTAGAGGGCTCCAAGTTCCCCCATCAGGTGGACTATGAGGTGATGAAGGTGGAGAACGCTGAGCTGCGCAAACGTTGCTTGGCGAGGGTGAAACCCAAAGAAAAAAAATGGTCTGGACAATTAATAGATCATATGTTTAATCCAGATAAAATGATATACTATATTTTCTCCATATATATATTTATATATATGGTGTGGTCTACATCCTCATCAATATTTTATTGGTCCATAGATCTAGTATATTAGGAGGATGGTCGGGGATGATTTGGTCCATTTTTTCCGATGATTGTCCCGGTTTTCAAGGTTCACAACCATCATTCACCAACATCAAAAATGATCCCCTAAACTAGCAGATTTGTTCACCTAGAAATGGTGACATAAAAATCCGAAACACTGGAATAAGTTTCCCGTTCCTAAACTCACTGGTTGAATCAAAATCCACATTGTCATATGAATTTGCCATTGGGGCACGCCCCATTTTAAGACACACCCTGTGTTCATGAAGGAATCGTGAATTAGTCATTAATTATGTACTTCTTGGCCAATAAATCATGTTAACTTGTCAACTTATTCATTTAGTGATGGCGTACATTAAGTGCGTGTTGTTAATGCAGATTGCACATGGTTAGATACTGCTGCATATGCCCAGATACATCTCATGATCTCATGTTTGTGGTTGAAAGGCATTCCCACGTTGACGGATAGATGTATTTCAATTGTGTTTGGATATTTGATTGCCACAACATGGCATTTCGTTCTGAGGTGTCATCTGTATACATTATGTTTGTATACCCAAACAGACTGAGTATAGAGGACTTCAAGTCCCTTCCTCCTATCCATATAGAGGTGGAACTTTCACCAAAAAAAATGTGCCCAGCATGCTCTTGGTCATACCTCAAACCAGTCCCATTCATTGACAGGTGTTGCAAGTGAAGGGGTGTGTGTGTGTTTTTTCAAATGATCAATATGGGGGTTCAATCTGGGATGAAAGTCCCACAGGTCTCAGAAACAACACACAACATCACAATTGTCGATGGGGCAGCCATAAGTTGTTTCCGAATGAATCATCTGGTAACTTACTCCCCTTTTCTTGGATCAATCTGCAGGTTTTGGCGATGAATCTCAGTTTTCGCTCATGCGCACCCTGAAATTAACATCAAGCCCCCCCCCAGTGGGTTTGGAATTTGCTGTTCCCACCAGAACTGACCGCAACTCCGCTGACACCGAGGACTGCTGAAGGCCCTGCGTGCACTCAGTACTGCCCGCAGCGGCCAAGCACCGTCCAAGAAGCGCCTCGTGCCCAACTGCCATGGCAATATCGGATGGCAGTGGAAAATCCTCCGTGTTCAATAGCAGATACATATGTCGATGGTATGTGTGTGTGTGTATATTTATATATATATACACAATATATGTACAATGTCTTCATGCGGCAATAGATGTGGTTAAAAAGAAATATGCCGTCCACAATTGGATGTGCATCCCAGCTAGCAAGTCGAATAATTTCCGCATATGCCCACGTATAACTGGTGGGTGATCCTGTTTGTCATCGCGGTTTTGTCTCGTCATCTAATCTGGCAACGGGAAATCCTCCACGTGTATCCATCAATGATTTTCCCATTAAGGATGGATGTCTTCCATTTCGAGGTTTCAGTGTACCAGATGGTCCGTTTAATGGAACAATTCCCGAGATTACTGTTTGCAGGGTCAGCCAATCTGGCAGAGAGTGAGAAAGGTGGAACCCGCTGATCCTCCCGATGCTGACGCCATTGGATCTTTTCTAAAAGAAGGTTGGGATAGTTCTCCCTTTTCTGTTGTGGGCTGCTTGTATGTCATATTGTTGAGAGCCAGTTTGTTGGAAGGGTTCTGACGCCACAAGAAATGATGACACCTAGGCAGCGTGTGGAAGAGAAGGAGAAGGAGAAGAAAAAGGACGGGCCATGAAAAGTGACAGCATTTGTTTTAAAATGTCGGACCCTGGACCAGAAAAGGGGTGCAATTTGAAGCTATCAGAGCTGAATCATCAGCAGTTTCAGCAGTAAGTTTTTGCGTCGCATGTCGATATCGCAATTGTCGAGGGTTGGCAAGGAGAAGGAGAAGCCTAAAGAGAAAGCCAAAGAAGCCAAGGCGAAGGACAAAGATCCACCGCGGGAAAAGCCCAAGGAGACCGAAAGGGAGAGGCCCGACAAGCCACAGCAGCCGCAGGCGGGCATTATGTACAGATGCGCAGGCGCGCATACGCACGTTACGTGTTGTGCGTGTGTATTTGCATATTTATAGCCAGATACCTCTGTGTTCTTCTGTGTGTGTGTGTGGGCGGGCATGGCGGTAGTCTACACGATACAGGACCCTAATGTGAAAGCCTCAGTGAACAATGATTTAAAGTGGATCCACAACAAACCACAATGACTTCACAAGCAAAACCCTACTCTAACAAATTATGCCAGATCTCTTGGTAAATTCTGGCTGGCTATGTTTATTATATATATATATATATTGTGTGTGTGTGTTTTGCAATAAAGAATCTTAAATCCTCAGTCCAGTCGTATCCCCATGGCTAGGTGCAAGAAGAATCTGAACCGGGTGAACCGGGCATGAACGCTGTGATGTTGGCCAACGCCCAGATGGAGGTGTGCTCCGAAAGGATGTGTCTCAGGAATGAATCAGTGGTTAAAAGGCCATACAATATCACATAGTGGCATATCATATCATACAATTTATATCAACATAATATATATATGTGTGTGTGTGTATCCATTATATAATTATATATATATGCATCCATTATACATATATATATATATTATCATTATTATTGTTATTGTTATTATTATTATTATTGTTATCACACATACATACACGGTGATATTTATATATATATACACACATTTTTATGATATATTAAGTAATGATATATGAATAGACAACCTATCTATGATGTTCATGCAGAAGAGAGCTCGCATTGCCAGCTTCGAAAATCAGATAGCAAATGGTCTGCCAATGTCTTTCAACCCATGAAATGTCTAGTAAGTAGTCAATGTTCCAACATGGCAACTGGAAATCCCTTAGAAATGGATGTTTCAATGGGAAAAGTCAGCTATAAATAGTGGATTGTCCATTGCCATGTTTGATTTCTGCGCTGTCTTACCATTTGCCCGGATAAGTACTAAGATGCTCCCAGGGAGCAATCATTGGCCAGGCTTTTCATTCCTCGGCAGGCGTACAATGAGCCCATTGCTGCTGATCTGCCGAAAGAGCAGCGAAGCAAAATGCTGGAGGAGCAAAAGGGGACAGCTGTGAGGTAGGCCTTGGTTGAGTGTTTACCAGCGATGAGCTGATGTCCCGTCGAATAGCAGGAATAATGCCAGTGAAAGCGGGCTTAACAACTAAGCAATCACAAATGACTAGAATTCCCACTCATTGTTCTTGTTTGACATGCTGAAAAATGGACTGGATAAACCTTGCTTTTCGTAGTTGGGTGGTTTAATTTTGCCATGGGAGAGTAGATTGCCCTGCCAAATTTTGATATGTTCTCGAATCGCATGAAAGATTAGCCAGGTCGGAGTTCTTTCCGTAGCTCTTCAAGGGATGCTGCGTGCAACACAGCGCGCCATTGCTTGACCTTGGGCAAAAGGGACTATATCCATCAGTATAATGTTTTATTTTTTCTCCCATTTGTGCAGCTTACACCTTAATCACTGGAAGAGACTGCAAAATCCCATGGTTTACCATCATTTGTCGGATGAAAGGTGCTGTACATTTATGGACAAACCCAATTATCCCGCATATCAAAATTATGTCCCCATATTGTTGGTCATATAGTTACATCATGTTGCATCTCCATTATAACATCACTTAAATCCATATCCCCAATCCACAACCAGTTTATATACTTCATGGTTTTACCATGTTTTCCCAGTTAAATTCGTTATTTTTCATGGCAACTCACAGCAGTACCCTTGGTGACGACAGCAATGCTACGCTCGTGAGGAAAAGCTCAAACGCTTCATGGATTATTTCCAGGAGAACGTGGCTCAGCCAGCACCGTTGATGATCGTTCTTGACTAAAACGCTCCACGATTTCTATATGGATCCCGGAGATAGCTAAGTTAAGTTGTGGCTAGGTTAACGAATCAATGGGTATATATGGCTGTGTCTCTGGAAATGACGTTAGTGCATGCGTATATTGTATTCAGATGTGTGTGTGTATATATATATGTATATGTGCACACATGTACGTACGCATGAATACATAGGTAACAAACATGTTTATTTGTAACTGGTGTATTTGCTTGCATTTCCCTCGGCATTGGCATCGATTTGCCAACCTAATTGGCTCCCAAGATTGGATACCCCGCCATGGAGGTGCAGATCATGGATCTCAAGAGCGGTGGTGTCATCGTGAAGGGCAAGATGTTTGCCAAGCGTTTCGGTGACCCGACTCACTCACTTGGATGGCTCTGGGGCTTTTGCTGTGAAGGAAAGTTTCATGGTAGGAATAAAAATGTATATACTAGAATATCCTGTCTATATATATATATATACATACAATATATTCATAGGGTATCACCATATATGGTATCACCATGGTCATGTGAATACACTAGGCACCACAAAAATGGTGGTACCATCGTCGCCATCTTCCCCCATCCAGAAATCTGCCCAGGTTGCGTCTTTCGTGAGTCTGGCGAAGAGCTCCAAGGGTCCTTTGGTGCTGTTGAAAAACCAACCGTTTTGTGGCTGTACTTGGAACCTTAACTAACCAGAACCATCCAAATATGGTGATATAATGGTGATATAATGGAATAAGCCCAATACTGTTCGGGTTGATTAAGGGCGAATTTTGACCATCGAATATTCAGGGGGTCGCCTTTGGTTCATACCACCAACGGATGATTTGAACACTCATAAAGCAGCAGTTAACAACAAAAATATGGAAAATGTTGGGGAATTAAGCAAAGAAAACGATGGTTAATGGGAATCTTCATCAGAAAACTGGAGATTACCAATAATGCAGAAATATATCATGGAGCTTTCGGGTAGATCAAGTAGTGAAAGGCTGGATAACCAACGAGAAATACTCACAAACGGAGGAGAGGGAGTGGAGAACCACGAAATTGGGATGGTGAAGCCAATCTGGTTGTTTACCAATTAGTGAATTGGGTACTTGGCCAATGACCCGGCAAAAGCTCCACTGGAGCCTGAAAAATAGGGCTTCAGTATGTCCCAGTCTGGGTGTGCTACTGGATATGGCCCAATACTTGACTGTCATCCTAATCTTTGCAGGGTGAGGAAACATGGACAAGATGAATCAAAAGCGATCCGGGGGATTTCCCAATCTCAGTGGAAAAAAAACGTCAAACCGAGGCAAAGCACCAAGCGCTTCTATTTCGACTCTATTTCGCCCACCTATTGCGTCCTGGCAACTCCATTTGGGGAACAGATCCACCACATTCTACCGCTTGGGAAAGGTTGATATTTGGATATACCCGGCCTGGTCAACCAACAAAAAGCTATTGAAAATGGCCCAGTCGAAATAGCGGATTTACCCATGAAAAATAGTGATTTTCCATAGTTATGTTAGTTTACCAGAGGGTATTTGGGGTTATCAAAGGTTGATGTCAGGAGAATCTCCGGCAGATAATTCCTGGACGTCCATCTCATCAAACTCCCCAACGGAATATCCTGGCTAGATAATTTGACCACCTGGCACCATTGATGATATGCATTTTACCAGCAATTTTACCAAAAATGTATTAAAAGATATGGATGATAAAATATGAATAATATGAATATAGGTCAAAAGTTGCCACCAACGGTAAGATGAATTGCCCAACTTTTACCACAGCTTTCATCCGATCCATTGGTATGTGGTCAACAGGTAATCAAACGTGGCTGGAAAATCCAGCATTTAGTTCGATGATTTTCCCGCTAAAACCTCCGTTTGCGATGTTCAATTGCTTTGTTTGACTACTGGACTGTATATTGATGTTTTTTGTTGTATTGGCCTAAAATAAGTGTTCTGATTTCGATCTCAATTCATAGGGTAACCGGCAAAAGCCCACAGCCGGAGATCATCCCTTAGCATCCCTTCCCCGAGGCTTACGATTGCTGTATACATATGATGTGTATATATTTGTAATCTTATAGATCATTCATATATAATGTATAACTATAAAACAGAAGATTCTATATAGTAAAAAACTTTCTAAGGTTATATACATATATCTATATATATGTGTGTGTTACATATATACATATTTACATATACACATATATCTGTTATACTTTCTATATAAGGATTATTCACCACAGGCTTGGACTTCGAATTCCACGAGCACCTGGTCACTGCCCAGCCTGGCACGCCACCGGATGGCCGTCTCGGTGTTCTGGCAAAAACGAGGTCGGGAGGTCATGAACCACAGAAATGATGCGAAAAATCAGGGAGAACCAGGGGAAAATATGTATAAAATATGTGAAATGTTCCCGGATGCGGTTTTTGACCCGAAGATTCTGACCACGCTTCATTGGCAGTTTACCCTGCCATGGGGGCGTGGCTCCTGTTCGCCATGTGAGCACCACACTGGCCAGCTGCCTCAACGACACGGCGGCCTTGAACTTGACCAGCGCTACAACGAAACTGGCGTGCAATGGGGTGACGCCCTTCTTTTGCAGAGCGTTTGGAATGCTCCTTCACCATAGTTTTGATTCTTGCTGCTATCGGTGAACTCTGAGAGGCAGCCCTGTTTGCCCAAGCCATAGCTGTAGCCGCTGTGAATCATGTGAAGTTTTAGATTTGGAAGGCTATTGATTTTTGGTTTTTTTCGTGGCAGGTTTTGGTTTTTTTGGGGGTTCCTGGTTCTATGCTTTCCTGTTTCTCTGATTTTCTGCTTCTCTGCTTTTCCTGCTTCTCTGCTTTTCTGCTTTTTGCTGTTCCTGCTTCTTTGCTTTTCTGCTTCTCTGTTTTCCCTGCTTCTCTGCTTTTGTACTTCTGTGTCTTTCTACTTCTACTATTCTACTTTTTCTTTTCTTCAGTCATGTGTTTTTGCTGCTCTACTTCCTGCTCCTTTGCTTCTTTGCTTCCTGTCTTTGCTGTCTCTTTGTTTTTCATTTTCTTTTGCTTAATTCTGTTCTGTTTGTATCCTAATTGAACCCTATAGAGACCCTAGGTGAAACCTAAAGAAAACCTGACAAGAAACCCTAATGAAGCCCTAAATGAACCCTAAAGAAACCATAAATTAATCCTAAAGAAACCATACATAAAACCCTAAAGAAACCTTGAATGACACCCTAAATGACATCCCAAAGAAACCCTAAAACAACACTTTGAAAAAAAAACTAAATAAAACCTTAACTGACACCTTGGCTGAAACCCTAAATTGACACCCTAAAGAAACCCTAAATGAAACCCTAAATGAAACCCTAAAAACCCTATATAAATGAAACCCTAAAGAAACCCTAAATGAAACCCTAAAGAAACCCTAATTGAAACCCTAAAGCAACCCTAAATGAGACCCTAAATGAAAACCAAACTGAAACCCTAAAGAAACTCCACATGAACCCCTAAAGAAACCCTAAATGAAACCCTAAATGAAGCCCTAAACGAAACCCTTAAGAAAACCTAAATGACACCCTAAAGAAACCCTAAATAAACTCTACATGAAACCTTAAACGAAACCCTAAAGAAACCTTAAATGACACCTTACATGAAACCCTAAATGAAACCCTAAAGAAACTTTAAATGACACCCTAAATGACATCCCAAAGAAACCCTAAACAACAGTCTGAAAAAATGAAATCATATCGGACACCTTGGCTGAAACCCTAAATTGACACCCTAAAGAAACCCTAAATGCAACCCTAAATGAAACCCTAAATTGAAACCCTAAATGAAACCCTAAATGAAACCCTAAATGAAACCCTAAACGAAACTCAAAGAAACCCTAAATGACACCCTAAATGAAACCCTAAATGCAACCTTAAATGAATCCCTGAATGAAAGCCTAAAGAACCCTCAAGAGACCCACATGAACGTTTGAAGCACCAAAACGTAGCAAATACCATGCAAAATGACAGGTTCTAGTTCCAAACTGTTGCAAATACAAGGCGAATGGTACCGGGAAAGAAAGCCAAAAAAAAAAAAAAAACCTGAGGCCAAAAAAAAAACTATTCTACACCCTTTTTGTTCACATTTTGGAAACCTATTTCATACCATTTCATGATAGAGTTGGTGTTCCAAAAATTGAAAATTGCCATGCGTTGAATCAGCTGATGCAATGGGCTTTGCAGAGATAGGGATCATAGCCCCAAAAATCACTGATGGTTTCTATGTCGTCATGGTGATGTTTGAGAGGATCCAAGAGATTCAGGATTGGCATCATATATCTGGGTAAATTATAACGACCTCACTGTTCTCCCTCACTGGAATCATGGTTAATAAGGGAAATCATCCCCAAATGGCCGCAAGATTCAGGTTGGTGAAATATGATAATTTACCCAGATATATATTCATACGTCATCCATTTTGGTCATTGGGAGTCTGCAGGATCCGCTTACAAAGCCAAGGTGTGCGAGAGCCACGGTCCGAGCGATTAGTGGTGCTCTATGAAGAGTCGCTTCGCCAACTTTGGGGAGGGCAGTGGACACAGTGGTGGGTGAAGCTGTCAGGGGAAAGGGATAAAAATGGATGAAAATGGAGAGGAAACTATGGTTTTTAAATGGTTGTTTTACATGTTTCTAGCGCCCCAATCTTTGTTGGATATCAAGGAAATTGTTTGTTGTCTTCAGCCTTTTCATTATGAGAGATCAGCTGGAGACATCCGACATCATGGGTCACTTCAGGACTTACGTCCCAGGTTTAGGATGTTTAGGGAAATGTCATCTCTAGTTCGTTGGGAGCCCTTTTGTTGCCAACTTTTCTTGGTTAAGCATCCTGGGTTTTGATGGTTTGAAACCTTCCAGTTCTCCCATGGATGCTAGGAATCCCAAATGTTCCCACCGTTCTTTGAGATTCCCAATGTCTACCAATCCCTCCTACCTAAGACTCCCTGATAGGTTTTCCTGTCGTGCCTTAGTCACCACCACACCCCCTGCAAGATCTCAGGAAGGACGGAAAGATCTCTCGGATGTGGCTCCGTACCTCGACCGTAAACTAAGATGAACTTGGATTGAGACCGCAATCAATTTGTTCAAAATATAGCCAATTGGACTGGCAAACATAGCTCGCAAAATTGTGTTTGGGTCAGATTTTTTTTTTGAAGTTCGAAACTGAGCAGCAGGAAAATAAACTCCACGAACAAGTGTCCGGATAGATGAAGTGGAAAAATGAGGAAGTAAGCCCCTTGAAACGGAGATGTCTCCAACAATGAGGGGCATACCGAAAGCCGTAAGTGCATTATCAGCAGGACTGGGTATGGAACTGATGGGTAGCCAGCAATCCAAGAAATTAAGAAGCAATGATGGCTTTGGCATGGGTCAGAACTTGGGTACCCTGAAATTAGATGGTTACCCAAAGAAAAAATTACGCCAGCATAGACCCCAGATAGCAAAAGGTATTTTTAAAGTATCCAAAAACTAGGGTCGCTGGACCTATTTCAATACCAGCGGGCATGGGGGATATAGAAGCCACCAGTTTCATCTCAAAATGTCATGATGGCTCAGTACTTCATTGAAGTTTAAAGCCCCAAATCAATTTCGCAAAACTCGCAGAAAACATAGCTGGCTCGAATCCATTTTTTGTCAATTAACTCCCAGTTTTCTTGGTAATATATCCATGTTTGTTGGTAAGCAATCCCCATCTTGCTTGGTAAAATTTTCCTTTTTTCGGATTACGCCCGAAATTCTTTCTTGTTGGTGAACATCCCCATAGTTGAACAGCTACTACCTAGCTTTGTCTGACCATGGGGTATACCCAATTTATGGGTGTTTGATAGGAACAACCAGGTGTGAAACCACGATGTCTTATTTTGTCAGAGGTGAAACGGGCTTTGTCCAAAACTCGGGTACCCCAAATTCAATGCTTTAAAATGTTTGAAACTCGTCTATTTGCCGGTTATGGTTCGGTGCTACGGCTCTCTCAATCCATATTCCATCATATTCCCAAATGGAGAGCCGCAGCTCCCAAGAGTCTCCCAACCGCATGATAGTAATCCTATCCCTTGTTCATATTAAACACCCCCAGTTATGGTTCCAGATGTGTTGTCCAATCCCCTGTAAAAAACCATGGTTGCTGGGTGGTGTTTAAAGGCTGGGGAAGAAGACATTATTCCAGTAATCCATTGTTAATATCCCATCAATATCCTACTAATATGTCATTTATTCCCCACTAGATCTATATTATACCCTCATTGTATGGCCATGATATAGCCATGATATCCCACATTATCCCATTGTTATTGGGGGGAAGGGATTAGTTTCAGTCATTTTCCAAGACAGGCCCTGATGCGGAGAACGTGGGTGGAAACCCGACCGCCGAGGAGAAGGTGCCGAAGCCCGTAGCTGGTGGCTTTACAAATAATATATAGTAGTGGTACTACTGGTTATATCTAATATGTATTTTTATGTTACTTCGATAGTGTGTATGTGTATCTATATATATACATAAATATGGCTGTAGCTGATACCTACCTACCATGACTTACTACATGATGATAAATGACGCGTAATACTGACTGGCTCTATCAAGTACAGACAAAGATATTTGATTCACGTGTGTAAAGTCATTCGGCTTTGTTTCAATGTATTTCATGATGACATAGGATGACTACATATAGGGCACCCCACTTGTCGTATCTATTTTTCAGCCATCGCCAATAAAATCACCATGTTGATGGGTAAGGGGCAGCATGGCCTGGTGAGGACATCATGGCCACAGAGATTTACAAAGATTTTGAGGCGAAATTGAAGGAGTGCCTGGGCGACATGGAAAGATGAATTCGTGGTCATAAAACAAGGGAAAGATACGGGAAAACCCTCCATTTGATGGCTGGAAATCAACTTCGAGTTACGATGTGATCAGCCCCTAGGAGGCATTTACAGCACAATTTGAAAATGTGGGGATTCCAGAAGCTACTGTTGCTTTCTACACCGAAGTGGTACTTTCCCAGTCCTGCAGCTGTTCCAGGCGAATCATAGCCACGCCAAGGTTGAAGGGCACGGAAGATCTCGGAGAGCGCCGCTTGGAGCACGGGAGTTAGGGGGCTGATCATTTCTAGTAGATTTGGATGGTGAAAGACGATTCTGGGGCTGGAAAAATGGCACTATAGCGGGATAAGAATGGGATTACAATGGTATTACACTAGGATTATATGGGATACCAATTGCGCTTGCTTGTATCCCAGTCATAGGTAGCTGTTCTATGGGTTCTAGGCCCGTTTTGGATATGTATCCGTACTGAAATCACCAGTAACTCATCAGCATTCATGCAATATTTTTACGACTGGAGGGTATATTGACACCAAGAATCGATATCGATGACTGTGGCATATCCCATGTCCATTCCTTATTCTTGATTTCACCATATGCCCACCCTCTTGGTTTTCTCCCAAGTTGCTGAAGAGTCCGACTTGTTCAACATCCCAGACCTGTTGCTTGTTTTTTTCAAAAGTGTTGGACAGATCACCATTCTTGAGCCCCGATGTTGTTTGTTTAAACTATCATTTTTGCAGGTATGGTGCGACAACGGGATCAATTGGCGCACATATTTGATCATGTTTATTCTCCACGATCTTATTTTCTGGGTAAACGCTTGGTATGTGAAAGAACCAAAACCCAGTGGATTATCATATCCTTCTATCATTTTCCTATTGAAATTGCGAAACATATTTTCCCGTCAAAATGGCGAACAATCAAGCCTTCCTATTTTCAGACCAACCCCTTTGAAGAAATCCTGCATGCTGGTTCCTCAGGCATCTTCCACAATTACCACGACATCCCGAGCGTCGGATGATGTGCTTGTGCATGGCTGAAAAAGGAACTCCATGCTCCGAGGGCCCAGTTTGGTAAGCCACAAATCGGTGTGAAAATGGACTATCCCAATTTGTGGCCACTTGGGGAACAGGGGATGATCAAACTTGGGGGCGTTTTCAAACTCAATTTGCAGCATAAGGGGTGCCCCCAAATCCCAATTCGCAAGTGATGCACACCCAAGTGGTGAATCACAAAGTTGATGCTGTAGGACTTCTAGGTTTGCAACAACCCCAATTCTGCGGTTCTATGTGGTGTATCCGGCTTCTCGGGCCGATTTAGCATTGTTGTTTATTCTGTTGGTCATGTACATATATATATATATGGATTATTAATCCATCAAAGACATCCCCCTTGAGTCCTTGAGTATGGTTCTATCTCACCTCTCAGATTCTTGCTGTTATCTCCGCCAGGCCGCCGAAACGCTGCAGACTGCTTTGTTTCCAGGGAAAACAGTGGGGTGACCCCTGGCATCCCCTGGTAAATGGGGTAGGTTCATGGCCACCTCAATGGAAAAATGATGATTCAAAAGATTTTCTTCCCAGGAAATCGAGGGAAAATCAAAGGAAATGCCAAAAATTCTGAGGCTAGAGCTTGTGGTGAAGCTTCCCTAAAATCAATCCATTGATGGGTGAATCATGGTGAAATGATTTTAAAAATGGGAGGTTGGCGCGATTTGACACGACAATAGATTTGTAGCATGTTATAATCAAAAGGTACTCTAAATAATTCATAAACCGACTGGTGAAAGCTTTCTTTGCAGAGTTGCGGGGTGGGTAAGAGACAGCCGTTCAAAACCAAACAATTCCTACAAATGGACTGGCTCACACTATTCGCACCCTAATACCTGCATCTATGGCCACACGTTTGTGACCGTCGTGTCGAAGTGTGTGATCAACATCAGTATTTTGGGATGTCAAACTCTGCAATGTCAGGGTTTGTCCAACCGAAAAACACACGCAGAATTGCTTTTTTTTGTCGGTTACACTCATGAAAACTTAGACCATTCATGCAGCAGGTCTGGCTATGTCCGAGGCACTTTTCTGCACCTTTCTACACAGTTGCTCAAGCTGGGACTGCAGTGGCATTTGCTGGAGTTACATGCCTCGCAGAAGATTCATTTTACCACTGAACAGTCACCCATAAGAAGTGGAATATCCAACAGATTGAGGTATGACCTGATTTTAAAAGAATTACAACAGCTTTGGGATTTGAACCCACTATGGATGGTGTAACAAATCACTTTGGAAACTACCATCCATTGACAGTGTCATCAATTTCTGCTTGAAAAAAAGAGTTTCTCTGCAAATGGGCTACCCCATTTCATCTCATGGTTGATCATCAATTTCTCGCTAATTACCATAGATTGATAAATCCACTATGTTCAAACCCAAATATCATATTCTTGCTGAAATATCCTCATGAAATCACCATTTCTCCCACTTTAATCTTCATTTTTCATGGTAAATCCATGTTTCATGGTAAATCTACCCCAATCCCACTCGCTGCCTCGCCATGCGTGCCATCCTTTGCCTCACATCCCTCGGATTTGTTGGATCCTTGGCAGAGCGCACAATACCTGTAACTTGGTAACTGCCCCAAAATGACCTTATTTCAGGTTCGTGAATTGTTGTCATTTTCCCAGATTAATGGTTGGGGAAGCAATATTTGAACTTGAGGGAATTATGCTTCAATAACTTGTTTGCGGCCATTTCATGGGGATACAATGAGATATAAGGAGCATATAAGCACCAAAATATTCTAATGTAGCTGCAGGTACAACTACCAGAACTAGGTTTAACTAGGGTAACAATATAGTTGTGGTTATGGATCTTCTTCTTTCCCTGTTGGGAAAACCAACTCGAAATCCAGGGCGATGGAAAATCAAGCTGAACATCTGACATTGAAAGAGGATGTTCCCTTCATTCACATTCTCACATTGAAATTTCCCATTGCCATCTTTGATTAGCAACAGGTAAAGCAACTTGTGAATGGCAGGTGGATGCCTTGATTCTCGCTCCAAAGATCAACTGTTTGGGAGGAGATCCAAAAAACTCTGAACATCTGCGGTGGAAAGTCATGGAGAAGCCCTCCAGCTCATGTCGGTCATTGGCTCAAATTAATTCAAATGATCCAAAACTTGGTTTGTGGGCCCCCAAAAAAATGACCCCACAAGTGTCAGTAGTTTGGTGAAGCTTTCGAAGCCAACCCAAACGCCAGAATGGGATTCAACCCCCAAAAGTGACCCCCCCATCAACCATCCATTATTTGGGTACCTTCGGGGGACGAATCTCATGACAGAAGTTTCATCTAAGGACTTCCTACTGTGCTTGGGAGTTACTTGGCACTGCACGTTTTCCCATTCTTTGATGCCACAGAAAGTGTGATTTCACCTGGAAAAATGATGATATGGGTGTTTGAAAAGTTTGGTGACATACCCTACTAGCGGTTATTTTAATGGAGAAAATGATGATTAACCATCCAATTTGAGGATGCCCTATTTTCTTAAGCAAACCTGATGAAAAGTTGCTGCGCAGGTACGAGACCAAGGTGGTTCCATCGCTGGGATTTTGGGATGGTGAATCCGACTACTTCCAGTCCATTGTGTGAAGTCAATTATGGTGTGTTCTCAACCATTCTTGGCATGAGATTTTGTGGATGGTTTTTGTGGCTATAAACGGTTAAACTCCTAGTGTTCATGGTCGCTTTGTTCCCTGGTGGTAAAAATCTCATGTCCGGCTTAGATCCTCATTTGCATTGATCACTCTCGAGGTGGATCCTAGCCCCTCATTGCCAGTGCCGTGATGGGATGCAGTGATTCGTTTCTTTGCAGTCTACAGGCATGCTTTGCAAATACCAATTACTGTCCATGCGTGCATGCATACATTAAAATTTACATCTATATATATATGTATATGTATATGTATACATGCATATACACATACATATGCATATATGCATATACATGTATGTATATATGGGATGAGTTCCCACGTTTTTCCTTGCAGCCACCATGCAGACTTCCAAGGTAGTGCCAAGGATACGCCTTACCAGCAGCCCGAGCAGATCCACATCGCTTTGGGGCAGCCAGGCGTGGGGTGTCGAGATCGGTGCATTTCCCGCAGGGAAAATCATCTATATATGGTGGATATTCCAGCAAACCATGTTTGATTACCGGAGGATTTACGTATAGGTATGCCTTATTTGTATATATTTAACTTGCTGACGCTCATTGTCGGCAGTATCAGTTGGCCCTTTACTTCGCGTGGGTCGAATGCCATCTGATTGCAGTGTGGACTAGGAATCCATTGCTTCAATTTGCTTGGACTTGTTTCAGGAAAATGTTGTGCATTTCTTTTGGAAGCAAAAAGCACACAAAGAAAGTCCTGCATGCAATTTAAACCCTGTTGCGCTGTCAGTGGCAAGAAAAAGCATCAATACCTCACACATTCAGTGTCCGAAAGTTGCCAAACTACTGCTGCTTATATACATGGTTTGTTCCTGCATTTCATGCGTTTCGAAATTTCAAAAGCCATGCTTATAACATCAGTTTTTGCATTCAACAAGCAAAAGATATGTGACAAAACTGTCAAAAATATTGTTTGTTGTTGCTTTGGCGCTGTCACGGTCAAGAGCTGCTTATATACATCAGCATTTCAGCATCCGAAGTATGCAAGACACATCTATTTGTAGTGTTTCTTGCCTTCCACTTTTTCTTGACATTGCTTTTCCAAAACAGTGCTATTTGCGGTGTTTCTGCATCTCTACTTTCAAAAACAGGGTTACTGGTAGCATTTTTGTGCGCTCCCACAAAAGACGCTCCGACTGGCCAGCTTGGTATGTGCCGTTTGGGCTGACTTCTGCGGGCAGTTGTTCCCTCCGTCAACTCTCAGATTTTTCAGATACTTTCTGGATGGTTTTGGTATAAGAAAAACCTCGCCACACCGGGTAAAGAATGCGGCTCAGGACTGTTCATTCCCATAGAAATTCTACAGTTGGGTCGATTTTTTGCATTGTCAGGAGGAGATCAGCAACTCAAGTTTGACTCTACAGAACAATGTGGTGCTTGCCATATCAGATTCCATTAGCAATGCTGATGACTGCCGATTACTAACAGTTCAATCACTTTTCCACAGGAGATGCAGGTGGCCACCTCCCATGTGTTTCAACATGATGGGTGACTTGCGCCAGGTGAAGTCACAGTTCATTGGTCTTCGATCCAGGCTGGGTGAGGTGTCGCACATGAGGTTGTTCCATGTCGGCAGTTGCGCATGATCCGGCCCAAAAACTGAGCCACTTGATTTAACCTGCTGTCTAGTTTGCTGTGTGTCTTTGCTAGGAAAGTTATTTGCGGCAAAAGAGCGGCTACTTGGTTGATGTGTTTTTTAGCGGTTGCTTCGGCCTGCGGTAGCAAGTTGTCCTTCGCCATGTTGTATGGAGTTTCTGTTTCATTCAAAAACCTGGGCAGTTTAATGAGTCCATCCCAAGCTCTCATCATCACAGCGTTGGTGCGCACAAATTTTAATCAGCTCTTAGTGCAACCGAAGTTTCGGCTGTATGGAACCCATGCAAACTTGAAAAAATACATCTTTGGAGTTTCCAAAATGGTGCAAGTAGAACACTTTAGTGTCAAAAAATCACCATTTCTGAACTTGGCCTCCCACTTTTCAACCACTGCTACAAAAACCATCTTTGTTAGCCATGAGTTCAACCCATCCTTACCTGTGTTGACTGAGGATATCACCCTGGAGAGTCCTATGTCATCTACGGCGAGTCCATCGATGACCTGACAAGGACGACACAACGACGCAGGGCTGATGCAGGGTTCCTGTGCGCAAAGCGGCATGGTTATGAGTGGGTCACAACAATTGAGAAACAAACATACATTATCGGAACAACACCATGGCTCTCCCAGTCAGAATAGCGCAGAATCAATCTGGGTTTTAAGCACTATGGGGATGTAGTCGAGTCGACAACTGGTATTATAAGAACCTCTTCTCCAGATTCTCAGAGTCGGGAACTGGTGATTTTCCAACAGGTCACTTTTTTTTGGAGCCCTCGGCATGGTCCAATGATCCCCAACAGCCCTTAAGGGAACCCTAGTCCCGGGTCCAGGACTGTCATCGGCAGTTCCTTCCTTTTCCAAGACTATGGTCCTGAACGTCGTAAGTTCACCATGCACATGGCTGTGGCTGGGCCTACCTTGGGAAACCCAGGGCAAGGTTGGGGGCATTTGGGTCATGGAATGTGTGATCTTGTATTTCATGTATATCGAGTCTTTTTCCGTGTCCTGTTTCTTGTGTAGTACCGTTTCCTACAAGTTTGCCGAGTCAATTATTCGTGCGCCAGAAAGCATCATGGACAGCAGGGTTCCAATGGATTCATGACAAACACCAAGAATTGGTCATATGTCCCTGCCAACAAAAGAGTATTGAACAGAAGTAAACCAAGTATTTCTCCAAATTTCGGGCATTAATAAACATACGTTGTGGATTTTCAGAACCCCGTGCCAGCTTGATTTATTCACTTTTTGGCCTTTGAGGGCCCTGTCTCCCAATAAAATCCTATGCCATCCCATGCTCCATCTGAGGCAATGAAAGGACTGACTGCAAACACAAAGTACTGCTACATGGTGGGTGGCACCTTGGTCGATGAGAACACACTGGTGAAGTTTCTTCGAGATTCGAGTCCATTTGCCCTTACAATGAAGCCCGGGAATGCTTGAGTTCATATCGGGTCTATGGTATGTTTGGGGCCGGAGATGAGAGTAATACTGGATAATCAAAGGAAGTTTAGAAGTCAAACTTCCGACAATATGGACAGATGAAAAGCAGAGATGGGAAGAGTCAGAGAGAAGAGAACAGTAGAAGAGAGAAGAATAGAAGAGAGAAAAAAATCAGAGAAGAGAAAGAGTCAGAAGAAAGAAGATGCAGGTGCGCGAAAAGGTAGGAAAGTCGCACAACACTGTGTTTTTCCAATGATTTGTGGCTCCGGAGGGTCGAAAAGTAGGCTCGCTAAAGCGGCGGAGATGAAAAAGTGCACGTCGTTGTGGCGCGAAGCACATTTCAAAGTCAAAATGTACAAAACACACCAGGTCCCGACCACTTTTGGAAGTTGCGATGTGGAAAAAGTGCACGCCGTTGTGGCGCGAAGCACATTTCAAAGTCAAAATGCACAAAACACAACATGTTCGCGCCACTTTTGGAGGTTCAGATGTGCTTTCGCGTGGCACGCGCAAGGGATTGTGGGCCTTGTCAAAAGTGAGCAAAACTGGAGGGTTTTGTGGCATTTCCCAAAACGCTGGAAGGCGCGGGACATTTGAAGAGAATCTGCAAAGATGCATTTTCCGTGGCAGGCGCAGTACAAGAGACATCTTCATCAGAGCTGTTAGGAGGTCCGGGCGATGATTTCCTGAGAGGGGTTGCACTTTGGAGCATCAGATCTTCAGGTTTGCTGAGATTATTTTGCGTGACAGGTGCAGCACTTCGTATGACCTGGCATCACTTTTTTTTGGTAAGCGCAGTAGTTTAGACAGATGGACTGGAAAAATCGCAAAATACATTGGTACGAGGCCGTCAGCTCTGCACTCAACTTTCCATGTTTGAAGGAAGTCTCGCAGAATTCTTTCGTTTTTGATGTTGTCAACTTCGAAAAATGAGGAAGTCTCGCAGAATTGCTTCGTTTTTTTTTGACGTTGTCAAGTTGAAATATTCAGGAAGTCTGGCAGAATTGCTGCGTTTTTGATGTTGTCAAGTTCAAATCCTGAGGACGTCTCGCACAATAGCGTGGTTTTCAAGCTTGCAGATAGACAGGTAGATAGAGAGACAGACAGACAGACAGACAGACAGCCAGACAGCCAGCCAGCCAGCCAGCCAGGCAGGCAGGCAGGCAGGCAGGCAGACAGACAGACAGAGATAGAGAGATAGATAGATAGATAGGTAGATAGGTACATAGGTAGATAGATAGTTAGAAAGGCAGATGAGATAGATGAATGGATGGATGGATAGACAGGTAGATAGATAGACAGACAGATAGATAGATAGATAGACAGATACATGGATAGATGGATAGATAGACAGCTAGATATATAGATGGATACATAGACGGCTAGATAGATAGATAGATAGATAGACAGACAGATGAGATAGATAGATAGATAGGTAGATAGATAGATAGATTAGATAGATAGATAGATAGATAGATAGACAGATACATGGATAGATGGATAGATAGACAGCTAGATATATAGATGGATACATAGACGGCTAGATAGATAGATAGATAGATCGATAGATCGATAGATCGATAGATAGATAGATAGGTAGATAGATAGGTAGATAGAAAGATAGATAGATACATAGATAGATAGGTAGGTAGGTAGGTAGATAGTCAGAGAAAGAGACAGAAAGAGAAAGAAAGAGAGGAGACCTCAAGCACCTTTCGGTCCATCAGTGGCTTCGCTCTGCCATCCGGGATTCACAACAACCAACCTCTCCTATAGGTTTCCTATTTTTGAAACTTCCGCCACCGCCTTGTGCGGTATTGCTGGTATTGCATAATAGTGGATACATCATGATATATGAATGCCAGCTATATTTCGGTGGAGATAACTGTACCACTGGGATGCTGAGGCAATCGCACTGGCTGGTCAGCGCCAATGTATTTCACCAGTCCTCCAGTGACTGCCACTCGACACCCAAGGATTTTTGGTAGTGAAGCCATAGGATTTTGTGGCCCAATTTTGCCCTCAAAAATAATCAAAATCTGGCAGAGATCCACATTTTCCGTTGCAAACTTTCCAGAAAGACTTGTCGGGGGCCCATCCTGCAGCCCAAAGCAGGACTTGTAGGGGGGCTTAAAACAAGCAAAAAACTGTAATATCGACATGAATACTCTTTTTCTTGGGGCTACACTTTAAATTCTGCGATTTGTTCGAGCACATGATGTCCTTGTCAACCGAAGCGCTATGGTTTTTGTTGTGGTTCTCGACGTTCAAGTTCCTTGTCGCTGAGGATCACGATGTGAAAGTTCGCTTGCCCATGACTTACGCTATCTATGGAGATCAGGGCGACTACAATGCGCAGACGTGGCCCAGCCAAATGACACCCTCCGGGACCCTCTGGCAATCAAACATTGCAATTGAAAATCATAAATTTGTGTTTTTTTAAGGGAGAATGATAGACAAATGGAGGATGTTCGCCGCATTTGAGTACCGGAGGGTGCGGGTTTTCTCCGGAGAGGACCTCTACAAGCCAATCGTCTCTAGATCCTACCAGATGTGATGGCCAACCATGATGGACCCCTGCTCCCAACTATACACCCCAGCTGTTGGCGGGTGGATAAGCCTATAGCTTGTGGTACCCGCACTCCTTAGCTAAGTTTGCTAAGTTTTCTTAGTGGCTGCATGGTTGAGTTGATGGTAGATATTTGTGTTGTAGTGGGACGGATCTATATATGAACTAACAAACATATCTGAAGGGCACCACCTTGTAGTCGTTTGCAACCGCAGTGACCATCAAACACCGCCTTTCAAAACGCATTTAGATTTGAACTGACAGGGGGTATTTTGAAAGCCCATCAAAATAGACGGGAAGATGGATTGAGGCAATGATTAAGGATGATTCAGGCCTCTTCCTCTACATATTTTTGACAGATCCACGGCTCAGGCTCCCCTCCTTGCAGCAAGCAGCTGCACGGGGCGAATTGGACATGGCCTGGGCCTTGGGCTGGTGATGGCGCTGGGTCAACTGGATGGCTCCTTTGATACACGTCGCAGGTATTTTGTTTGTAGGGTATTGGCCATGAATGGACAGGATATTGGTCAGTGGGGTGTTGATACCAGCCCAAGGAATTAAAAGAAGCATACACTCAACAAAAATAAAAAGAGATTAATGAAAGATAGAAGATTTAATGAGTGGCACATCTGGTTCATGATGGCTCCTCCAACAGTGTGAATTCAGCAAGGTTTGCTGGTGGCTAGCCCGGACACAGCCACTGATCATCTTGGTAGCTAGTCGTAAATCGCACAAAAAACAGTACCTTTTTTTGGCAATTTGGGAGAATTATTGGGGATGCCTTGAGGAGAACCTTCTTCTCTGTGTCTATCCATGGGAGGTTTCCTCAAGAAAGGACTGGGTTTTGTCTTAGATTTGAGAATCGCAAAGGTTGGTGCGTATGATTTTTTTTGTTACATTTGCACAAATCTGCAAATGATCACAGGCGACAGTGGCACCAGAAGTTGAACGCCGCTCGAGGGTCATTCGCACGCTCGGCACACAGAACTACGTGGATGCCCTAGGCTCTGGCATGGACAACAGTGACACAGTTCGAGCTTTGAGCTCTCTATTTCCGCATGCTACCTGAAGCTGGATGCCGCCAAATTGCTGTCATGGCAGTCGCTTGGGATCCTGTTGATGGTGGCAGTGCAGCTAGCATCTGTTGAAGGCTCAACTCTTGAGACCTCCCAGCTCATCACGGTGTTCGCCGAAAGCTGCGAAGATCGAGATGGCGTCGCGCCAGTTGGTGAGATCCAGAAACGCTACCTTGTTGGACAACTATCGGTAGCCTATCGGTAGTTAATAGCATCTTTTTTGCTCGGTCAAGCCTCCATGGTTGTGACGAATGTCCAGCTTTCTTTCATGAGGTTCTCCACGTCGGAGACATGGCCTATGACTTTCACAGTGACAATGGCAGGAGAGGTGCCGTTTTTTCCACTTTTTCCAAAGCATCCCCAAAATTCCAGGGGCGAAGCATCCTAGGTGCCTCTTTTAGCATCCCCGAAATCGGCATCCGAAACAGCAATTCTGCAACCTTCGCCAGGAACGGCGATGCGTGGATGAGGGACATTGAACCCTTGGCGGCCTATGTGCCGCCCCTTGGCCCTTGACGATCGCTGATTTCTTGTCGATAGGAGAGGGATAGTCATATGGTCATCCCAAGCAAATAATAGTTAAATGTGTTTAATTTACCCATTATGTACGGACACCATTGTAAAATTATGCTGCTGCTGCTGTTGCTGTTGTTGTTGTTGTTGTCGTTGTCGTTGACCATGGCACCTCCTAATGGAGTGGAATACCGTGTGATAAGTCTGCAGATAAGTCTGCTGTACTCTGTCAATTTCAGTGCGTCCATATTTGCAAAGTGGGACCCTTACACTATGAAATGCAGGGTTATGCACTTGACCCTTGGATGTTGATGGATGCCACTTAAGAATCCTCAACCTGTTTTGTGATTTCGTTCCATGGCTTGCTGAAACCACTTCTGGTGCCGATAAAAACCTGCAGATATGACTAACAAACCATAGGGGGGTTAAGCAACTGCCAAAAAAAACAGATGATGAATGATAACCAACCAACAGTTTGTAAGTAGTTGACAACCCAGAATCATTCAAACATCCCACATACTGCTGGTTTCAAGCATGGTTGTGAACCTATCTATGGATGGAAATATTGTTAAGTAATACCCATAAATTATTTGGCGCCAACCAACATTTTTTATCAACGTTGTTAATCCATTTCTAACCGGGGCAGTTCTGACGGGTTCTCATGTTGTTTTGCCTGCCCAATGAGGTATATGGTGTCTCATGGGAACCACGAAAGCGCTCAGAACTTCAACCACTATACACAACGTTTCAGGCTTGGGGCAAGGGACGATTCATGATGTTCAAAAGCTAAGCTTTGGGCCGGCCTCTAGAAGTGACTGAATTGCCTATAACTTATCACTCTTCTCGTTTTTTTGGTGGGCCTGAGCTTTACTACGCAATTAGGAACCAGGATCAAGGGATGCGTATGCCACTTATTCTATTGTTGGTATGTGCATCTCTTTTATGCCCACAGCTGTGCCACAGCTATGTCCGCACAATTAAATCCCCATGTATCAGCACAATTCCGCCCGCACCGAAGGTGCCGAGGCGTTTTTTGTGCGCACGTATAAACCAGAAGCAATTGCAATAGCTATTACGCTTTAGCTTGGGGGGGCTTTATTGCTCTAGAATCCTCTGCTTTTCCACTTTTTTTTTTCGCGGGTCTAAAATCAGCTAAGTTGCCAAACTTGGGCTCAACATGGCCCGATCATGGTCCCAATTTGGGCCAACATGGCTCACCATAGGGCCAATATAGGCCCAACATGGGCACAACATAGGCCCTGCGCCCAGCACGGCCCAACATACCCCCAACATGAGCCCTACAAAGGCCCAACATAGAACGTATATGGTTTATTAGAATTTCGAAGCTGTAAGACTCCGGTGCGAGCGATTGTCGTCGCGAAGCGATCAGAATCCATTCTATTTTCTATACTATATACAATATATCCCTACGGTTTCAATATCCACAGGTTCTATACCCCCATCATACCTTCATTGCAAGGCTGGGTTTTAAAAAGAACTACAAACATACCCGGAATTACATCCCCAGCGTATCCATCATACCCCATGTTGTATATCCCTACCAATTACACTATCGATTTTACCCCCTGTTCTTAAATTCACAGATATCAAGACTGGGGATTAGATTGTACATATGCCATCAATCGCCATTCTTATGATGTGTATATCTTTAAATACACACATACCCACACAGTTTGTCTTCCGAGCAGCCCTGGCAATTTCATAAACCCACACCATTCTCCGCTAACTTCATTTCCAGAGTTGCCTTCAACGGAAAATGTACTGGCTTTCAGCCCCCAGATTTTGTTTTCCAAAAACATCACTGTTGTTTGATGCGTGTTTCCGCTCTTTCAACCTCCCAATGATGGTAGGAACATGCCCTCCAACTCCGGCACTTTGACTTTCCCGGAGTTTGGCACGGTGCCCAACAACTGGCACCCTGGCCGTCATGGTGTGATGACTGGGATTCATTTTTTGCTATTTGCAAGTTTGGAGGGTACATAAAGTCATTTAAAGTTAGCTTTATTTTAAATTAGTTATGTATATACATATACCTATGTTTACACATAGATAATATAATATATATATATATATCTCTCTCTTTACCATACACAAGTATTTATTGGTGACATGTCGATGGCTGGGACGTCATGTCAATCCGCACGGAGGTGGTACTCGTGGGATGACGGTTTGGTGCACTTCGTGGCCATTTCAACGGAAGTGCCGGCAGAACATGGACGGAGATGGGGCGGTAGCACCGAGCCATGAACAAAATGCCCTTGTTTTGGTTATGATAGGGAGTTATACTACATGGGTTATTTGGGGATCATTAGCAGTCAAATAGTATCTCATGAGATGGGAAAAAGGGAGTATGTTTCATGGCTCAGATAAAGCTATTCCATCTCCAGGTTCACATGACTTACAAGAAAAGGATAAACGAGTCAGCGCCTCGAGCCAGGTGTATTTTGACTACCACGACATGGTCCCAGAGCAGTATCGATGGCTGGAGAAGGATCTTGCAGCTGTGAACCGCCACTGGGACTGGCTTTGTACCCGCCATGGGATTTGGGGAAACCAATTTTGAGATTGGCGATTGTGTTTGAGCTTGGCGATTGTGTTTTGAGCATCTTTGGGGTCTTGAGGCAGTGAATGGACTCTTCCGCTGTTTGTCTCAGCATTGGTCTCGGTTTCGCATTGATGATATGACCTAATTCAGATCATGCGAAGATGTCTGCCTTATCATTTCCGCCCATTTGACATCAGTCTTGTCCATTGGATGCAAACTCCATCAGAGCCTGTTGCCTCAGGAAGCAAAACACCCTGGGTGGTGGTCCACGGCCATCGGCCTTTGTATTGCTCCTGCGATGCCACTCGGGCGATCTCAATCCCCTCTATCCAAGCTCCAGCCCCCTTAGATCATCTCCAAAGACAAGTTGGCTGCACAGGAGGTGGCTCGTTTTAGAGCTCCCTAGTGATTTATTTAGGGTGCTCACCTTCCCTTGGAAGCAGGGCCAAAAGTTGTTGCATCATCTCCCTTAGATTTCACACACTCTGTGATGATCGAGTAGTGTGAGCCTCTCGAACAAACAGTCAGGACCCAAAAACGGCTTCTTACTAGACATGCCAATTCTGGATCAATTTGGAGGGTCCATGTCAAAATTGCAGAGGTGCATGTCCGTAATTTGGTAAATGCAAAGCCATAAACCCTGACGACTTTCCAGAATGTGTGGTGTACACCATCACCTGTTGTTTTTATATTCTAGTCATTTCTGGTCTATCGAGGTACCTATAGAGAAGGTACTGTGCCAAACAGGGCCATATATTGGGATGATATTCGCTCACAAAGACCTTGCGTATCGTACTTGCTTGAAGGAACCGTACCCAAAAGTTTTCCTTATTGTGAGTCTGCGTGTATCGTAATGCTCAGAAACAATGGTGCCTCTACCAGTCTTCTGAGGAAGACAGGCGATCGCAATGCTTACTATCAGTCTTGTTAGTTTCTGTTTCTTCATTCCCAACTTTTTGGCTGGTGTAACACAAGTGTTTTATTGGAGAGGAATCCCGATTCTTGTTGCTGAAACCTCTCCTCCCGCTACTTTCAAGATCGTTTTTTGATTCGTTAACCGATTTTATTGAGAAATAATGAATGATGATTGAAGAGCAAAATCTCCCCCTTGGGGATGGACCAAAAGTTATTTTACAAAACCTTGGGAGAATGAACCCGCATTCATCTCAGCCGTCTCAGCTGTTTTCGTCTTCCCCTGGAGATTCCATGGAAACCCCCCCGAAAATTCCCAAGGAGGACTGCGATGCCCCTGCCACAACCAACCGCATGGGGCTGCAGTTGCCGGATGGGACCTTCAAGTACTTTGGGTAGTGAAAAAGGGGGGAAGGCACCCGCCACCTTGGGGACTCAAACAAAGCGGTTTCCTAGAAAGTTTGCCTGGTTTTCTTGAAGGTGAGTTGTGTCTTTGTGTGATTGTCAGTCCACCGCGAAGCTTTTTGGTTGAGGGACCCTTGAGAAAGTCCTAGTATCGTGGCATCTCTCATGGAGGAAAGAAGCGATGGATCACCAACGGAAATGTATCATGGCCACTAGCGGACATTGGCCAACGAGCAAGAAATTGTGTGTCTGAAAATGGGAAGAACCCCAATATACGGCCATTTTGATACAAAAAATGATGATAACCTATTGCCTATTTTCAGAGACATCCATACCAGCCAAATCCGAGTTTGTTAAAGTTGAAACAAACCATGCACCAAATTTTAGACAAAGGCTTGAGCTTTCCTAGAGAGCAGACAAATCAAGTTAGGTACATGATATACTGATGAGACACTGGGTGCAACATAGTTCTCACATTCTTGCCAAGCTTCAAATTAATTCTTTCTCCGTGTCGGTCCCACTTCGACAAGTGTTTTTTCGAGTACAGGATGAGCCCAACCGATGATAAAAGGGCGATGCTCCAATGGGGCACCACCCCAAGTGAGGATCTGCCGGAATTGCAAAACGGGTACGGCCATGAACCGATCACTGGATTGCAACTTTTAATGATCGCAATGTGTGATGTACCCAATGTATGGTGTTTCTATGGTTCAAGCATGTCTTTTTCAAATTCCCTTACGGACAGGATAAACTTCTGGAATCAAAGGCCGTTCCGAGAATCCCGTTGGATTCTAAAGGTATGGTTTGGAACAGCTCTTCTACCAGCACGGTGTCGATTTCTACATAGCAGGCGTGGGGCGAAACTGTAGGTTTCACACAACAACGAACTGATGTGAGGCTCTTTCACGCCCAAAAAGTGACCTGGTTGTGATTTGATTTTGAAAGTGGTATGACTCATATAAGATGGATGATACAACCCTTCTGCAAAATTTGATTTTTGTGTTTGCAATTTCGGCGTCCTGGTTAATTCAGCCCGCAAGCGTTTTGTCTTCACACAGATAACATTTGGGCAGGGGTTAAAATTCGATACCCCAAAAAAGTGGATGCTTTAGTACTAAAGATTTCAGAATTTTGTTTTACCCCGGCTGAGCTACTCTCTCGGAAGAGATTCAACATCCCTATTCTGCCACTGGCAGTTTCAAACCAGTCTCTGTTGGTCTCAATTTCCAGATTCATCCACCAGGCAGTTAGGACTAACCATTCGGTCATAGAGTAGCTCGGATGCCCACGTTTATAAAGAATTCGCTGTTGTCTGATCCAATGAACTGCTCAATTACCAAAAAGACGTCAATCCCTCCAACCCTCTAACCTTCAACGCGTCCCTTTTCTGGTCATCAGCTTCACCCCTGTTCGTACCATGGTTGTTGGTCAAATCCCCTCTTTCCTGCACTTTGATTGATCAACCAGCCGTTTCCACTTGAAATGGGCAAACCTTATTTGATTCATTCACTTCATTCCAGAAAAAATCCGCAGTTGTCGTTTTCTCAGCAGATTCCCTGAGTTTTTGTTGTTTCAACCGGGATCCTCCAGAGGCCACGAGCACGACTACGAGCGCATGCATCTTGGTGCAATCGAGCGGAGATCTGCCGAGCAGAACCAACAAGGGGAGATGTTACCAGAAATAGGGATCGAATTGGCACCAAATTGACCGGAACTTGAAGCTACACAAATGGGACTACAAGAAGACATTAGAAAACCCACGAAAATTTCATCCATGTTCGACCAAAAAATGCCCCTAAGCAGGACTATTTACCAGTTATGACCCCACCTAGGGTCCATCAGCAAGTTCAATCAAGATTGTTTTCCAAATCGAGGTAATTAGTTCAAAGTGGGATGGATGATCCGCTGGTTCCTAGCCACACTCCACCTGAGCCATTTACAAGCGGATGATAACTATGCCTGCCACTTGCTGACTGCAAAGATCTTCCAAATAGGTTTGTCCGAAAATGTGGTACACCTCTATACATATGGCCACTTTGTTGAGAAAAGACCTGTTCCAATGCAGTGGAATTGGTGTTTACCCACAAATTTCAGGTACCTTTCGCCAAATGGGGCCCCACCAAGTCAGGTACGATGTGGCGCCCGGCTATGATGCTGCCACCCCCTGGCTGAGTGGTGCTACCACCCGCAGCACCGTGGAACCTTGGTAAAGGGGATATTTGGACCATGAAAAAAAACTTGGAAATTTGATGGTGATTTTGCTCGAAAATTGGGAGTTTGATTCTCGCATGGAGGGAATTGATCCTCGGGAATTGGGATTTAAGATTGAAAAACTTGTGGAAGTCACCAAGTAAGAACATGGAAAGGAACAGGATGGGAGTATGCCGTTGCTTTAGCCAGTGGGCTGTTCTTTAACAAAAAACCTTTTTGTCACTTGTACCGGGCTTTAGCCGGCTAACCATGATTAGTTCAAATCCACACACATGGGACATTCAACCTACGAGACCAGCGTCCATCAACTCTTGGATGTGAACCCAACGAACCAGTGCATCTTTAACCGATCACAATGAGATCTTTACCCCATCAATGAGGGAGGTCTCACTATACAGAAATGGGGATATGAACAGAGCAGGAGCGACAACATTGACGGGAAGATGAACATGGCAAAGTTAAGAACAGTAAGAATTTGTCCTTAGCTACGCGGATGGAAAAAGAGATCGGTTTCGCTTCACAAATGAGATGTGAAAATGTCCCAAACCAAGAATCTCTGAAGCATGTCATGTCACATCCTATGTTTGCAGCGAAGCCATCCTGCAGAATAGATAGCTCCAAGACTGGAAGTTGGTTTGAAATTGTAATTATGTTATATTGTGTTACATCCCTTTCAGGACAATGATGCGGATCTTCACGGATCGGAAGCATCCATAGCCATCCAAGTTGGCCAGCGAGGATCCCCCTGCCACGACGTACATCGTCACGGGCTCGGCTGGAAATATTGAGGAGACACCTGGGTTGCTGATGGAAGTCTACTGATATCACAACGACCCCACTTGCCGACCCATAAATGATGGTTCATACATGTGGAGTACTCTCAAAACTGTAGTAAATGAGATTTGCTAGTTATCATACATTGCACAGTTGTATATAGTTGTATGTGGATGTGCATTGTGAACTTGCTAAAAAGCCTCCTGCGTAAGTCCCCCCACCAGGGCTATACCACACACGTCTGCGCCCAATCATGGCCAATGAGATGAGCCTGCCGAATAAAACTTGGAAAGAAGCTGACCAAAAATGGCCACATGTATGTGAGCAACCAGCAGGGTCAGCAACTGGCCACCATGGTTATAAACCAAGATTCTCGAAAATCAATCAAGGTCGGGCCTTATGATCCCCCACAAGTAGGGCGACCCCTTGTTGCAATGTTTTCAGGGCTTAGATAAATTGGGAAATGTAAACAAAACTCGGCTCGGTTGTTGGTTTCAAGTATTTTGTCATTTTCAATGATTGCGCTGATTCATTCAAGAGATTCATATCGAATACCTCCACCTCAAGGCAGAGTTAGAGTTGGATGCTCGTTGCGCGGTTGAGTCTTCGGCTGAGAACTGGGGTGTTTCTTGTTGAAGCTCCCACCGAAATTTTCCCCAAGCTGGCAGGACCATGAGTCCTTCTCTCGGCCAGCACCATCGCGGAGTGCGAAACGAGCTTTGGAGCAGTTGGGATGTGGCTTTTGTTGGACGGGTTGAAAGTCGGGTAGCATGGTAAACCCAAAACCAAAAACCTACCATTTGGAGATGTTTGAAGCAACCATCCATTTCTAGAGAAATCAGAGATGGTTTTCCGGTGGGCTTCCCACAGCAATCCAATTCCAAAGGATTCTGCTCATTTTCCATCCTGAATAACAATACAAGGGTACAAGTTTTTCATTTTAGATTTCAAAAAATTGAGGTATATGCTCCATATTCTTTGATTCTACTCAACCCTTTTCATGGGTGAAATCCTCATTGTTTCAAATCATACCCCTATTTTTCTGGTGTGTGTCAGCTGGACACTGTGTTTGACAAAAGATCAAATCTTGAGTGAATAGCAAGTGATGCAGATTTCAGTTCAATCTTTCGGTTGAACCTGGGATCCATTTGGTCATCCAAGGCTTGAACACCTACGGCTGGTCGAAGATGACGGTGTACAATGCCAGCCATATCTTGTGGCAGCAGATTCAGACCGACACGGCAGCACCCTCCAGCACCTGGGGTCAGGCCGGTGGCTGTTTCGCAGGGACGCTTACCCTCCGGTAATCAAACATGGAAAATCCTTCATTTGAAGATCATTTTCCCAATTACAACCTTCATTTGTAAGGGGTTTTCCGTTGCCATGTTTGATCACCGGAAGGCAACCACCAAGAATCATGGGCGTATAAAACCATCTTATGGTTATATGTCTGATGGCATTTAATGAAGTATATAAATTCAACTTTATTTTTTGCGATTTCTCCAAAAAAACAAGGATACCCGAAGATCAGAAATTTGTCATAGGGAAAAGTGATGATACCAATGGGCCAAGCTCGGCCGTGAGGTTTTTTTCGCATGTTTACTTATCTTGCAGGGAAATGCAACTACAGTGAGGAAAATCCCCGAAATGATGGTGAATTAATAACGAAATTTTGAAATAATACAGAATAACTAAGAAGTAAATATGCCAATAAAAATGAATAAATAGGGAAATGACTACGGGAATAAATTGGGAAAATAAAAATGGTAAATAAAGACGGAAATAATAGGGGAAAAAAATATTGGAAAAAAAGAAATACGGAATAAACAAGAAATAAATAATGAAATAAATGGAGAAAAATAAGGAAATAAATACGGAAATAAGTATGGCAATAAATATTGAAATAAATACAGAACTAAATAAAGAAATAAATGGGGAAATACATATGGAAATAAGTATGGAAGTAAATATGGAAATACATAGGGAAATAACTAGAGAAATAAATAAGGAAATAAATATCGAAATAAGTATGGAAATAGATATTGAAATAAAAATGAAAAAATAAAGAAATAAACAGGGATAAGAATAAAGAGGGAAATAGATATGGAAGTAGGTATGGAAATAAATACTGTAGGGGAAATAAATGAAGACAAAAAGGGAAATAAAAATTGAAATAAGTATGGAAATAAATAGGGAAAGAAAGAAAGAAAGAAATAGGGAAATAAATAAAGAGATAAGTAGGGAAATAAATATGGAAAAAAAGTAGGGAAATAAGTATGGAAATAAATCAAGAAATAAATAAAGAAATAAATACGGAAATAAATATGGAAATAAATACGGAAATAAATGAACAAATAAGTACGGAAATAAATCTGGAAATAAGTATGGAAATAAACGAAGAAAAAATGCAGAAACGAATAGGCAAACAAATGAAGAAAGAAATAGGGAAATAAAAATGGAATATGTATGGAAAAAAATTGGACATAATAGAAAAGTTAATATGGGCATAAAAGGGGAACCAATACGGAATTAATAAGGAAATAATAGGGGAATTATAAGGAAATTATAGGGAAATAATACGGAAAAAATATTTGGAACTAATAGGAAATAATAGGGAAATTCAAACAGAAGGATACGGAGTTTATGGGGAAATAATAGGAAAATAATAGAGAAATTTTGAGGAAATATAAGAAATCATGGGGAAATAATAGCGAATAAGTACGGGAATTATTGGGAAGTGATAGGGAAATAATATGGTAATAGTAGGGAAATAATGAAAAATTGTTTGAGGAAATAATAGGGACATAATAAAGAAACTATCAGGAAATTATCAGGAAATATTCGGAAATTATAGGATAATAACCAGGGATAGAATAGGGAAATAAATATAGAAATAATAGGAAATAGTTAGGAAATAATAGAGAAATTCGAACGAAATTTTACGGAAATTATATGAAAATAATGCGGAAATTTTGATGAAATTATAAGAAATTATAGGGTAACAAATAGGGAACCAAGCAGGGGAATAAATGTGGAATTAATAGGGAAATAAATACAGATATAATGGAGATATAATAAGGACATCAATACGGAAATAATGGGGAAATAATGGTGAAATATGAATGGAAAGAAGTAGGGAAATAAATATGGAAATAGTGCGGAAATATATACGGGAACAATACGGGCATAAAAAGGAAATAGACACGGAAATAATGGGTAAATAAGTACGGAAATAATAGGGAAATAAGTTTAAAAATCAATACGTTATTTAAAGGGAAATAATTTGAAAAATAATAGGGAAATAATAGAGAAATTTTCAGGAAATAATAGGCAAATAAGAAGGGAAATAGATGTGGAAATAATAGGATAGTTACGGAAATAATACGGAAATAGATGCGGAAATCATAGGGGAATAAATTGGGAAATAAGGAAATATAAGGAAATAATAGGAAAATAAATAGGGAAACAATAGCGAATAAATACGGAAAGAACAGGGAAATGATAGGGAAATAAATACGGAAATGATAGGGCAATTATAGGGACATAATATGAAAAATAGTAGGGAAATAATAACAAATAGATACGGAAATAATACGGAAGGAAATAAATGCAGAAATAATAGGGAAATAAATGCGGGAAGCATAGGGAAATAGATCCGTGAAACTCCTCGGTTTTTGGTGCAAACTTCTGCTTCTCACCAGAGGTGATGGATGAGGCTTGGATCGTTCAGCAGCACCATGGGCCTTTCGCAGATCATCCACGACGCTCCGCATCTCGGCGAAGCCAGCCGGGGTCACTGAGTCATCTTCTGATGCTTAATTAAATTCTTTCGTTGAAAAATCGCTGTTTTGCTATTGAAGAAAATCACATGTTTATGATGAATTCTTACCTTTTTGTGGAGGGAAGAATGAAATTTCCACCTGTGATGAATTGAATCCCAGTTTTTTATCGGTCAAATTATTTTGTTAGTGAAGTGGATGAACGCAAAAACTTGGGATCCCCAAAATGCATAATTTTTGGGTGCGCAATCGACAGCAAACGGTACCAAATTGTCGGATGTCCCTCCTCCCTAGATAATTGTGCGGACGCAATGCATCGTTTGGTCAACCTTTGAAGTCTGAAGCGTGATAGAACTTTAACAGCATCTAAATGGATCCTGCTTGTGCTGCAGCATGCCACTCCTTTCTTGTGATAGCACCACAAGTTTCCCTACCAATGCTCAAAAATAGGTCAATGAAATGCTGCCTGATTGTTTTTCAAGCATACTTGGGATGATTGGAGATTAAATCTTTTCGGGATGGGTTCAAACCATCAACTCATCAAATGATAATTTTTCTTTGTTTCTGTTGGTCCAGTGTTCTCCATGTCAGCTGTCACCTGAGGAGATCGAAAAGGTGGGCTTAGCAGGTCTCCCTGCCCTGGCGGATCCCGAGGTGTCACTGGATGTAGCCATGAAATACGCCACCAGGAGACCAGTGACGGCGGGAGCAAAAAAAGGTGGAATTCACAAGCAAAAGCTCTAGAAATAGTCCAACAAAATGGAGTTTGAAGGAGGGCGACCACTATCCTGATAAGAAAATGGATGGGCCCCACTATTGTCGAGGTAAGGGCAACTGTCATATTTTTAGACATGTTCGGTTGATGTTGGAGAACAACACAAAAGGTCCCAAGAATTACTCATTATGTAGAAACATCTTGAAACAGCAATTTGGCCCCTAAAATGCTGATGTTTTCTGATTCAGGAAATAGTAAGGTAAGTCTTCTCCCAACGCTTTCTCCTTCACAGCCTCACAGCCTCACAGGAGACTCAAAAATGAGGCGCAATGTCCCTTGGCCGTGGGCGCGGAGTAAACCGTTGCCTTGCAAAGCAGCTTTGATGACTGATCATTGTGCTTTGGATTTTTTGGTAAACCATTCTATTTTTAGTCCACAGAAGCAGTGAGTCAGGTTTGCTAGTTTGTTTTCCAACAAGAACCCACGCGTTACTTGAGGTGTCACGTTTGTGATGTCCACCGGAGGAAAAGCGCCCCTGCGCCGCCATGCTGAGGCAAGCACATGCCTGCGGGGCAGGAACCGCGATGCACCTGGGTACAGTTTTGGTCAAGTTGGTGGGACAACTTTCAGCCTGACATGGAAGCTTCATCACCAGAGTTTCTGGTGAACTCCCTCATTTTTTATTTTTGTGCCATAAAACCCTAAGCTTCAGTGAGGGAAGTTAGTCAGTTTCAACTTTCACAACTTCGAATTGCTGGGCAAAGCTTGCTGAGTGGCTGGTGAATTTTCCTGGATCTTGGTGAAATCGATCGATTGATCCACAAATGTTCATCTTTGATGGTATAAGATCACCACCTTTGCCCATTTTTCCCATCAGATCTCCATTTTTTGTTGGTTGTGATATCCCTGCGATTTTGATGAAAATTTCAGCTTTACCCATCAACAGACAATCTTCTGAAAAATAATTTTCCGCAACATCTCCATTTGGGCTTGTGGGAAAATGAGGTGGCATTGATGCACCATCATTTTCCCAATAAAGATTGCGATTTGGAGATTGATTTTCAGAGACGCCCATTTTTGTTCGCTGATCTCTTTTCATCTCCCATAAATTCCGAATTCAAGATAAAACGTAACTTGCTTTGTTTCATGCGCAGAAAATTCCCTCAGATTTCCTCCATTTGCTGTTAGTTTCTCCTTTGATTTTTACCTGTCACGCCATTTTTCTATCGCCCAGGCACCGATCCGCGCCTGGCACAGGATCTCGCACAGCAAGGCCGCTGGCAATACACCAAGCGCCGTGCTGACGGTGATGGGGTGCAGCTGGTGTGAGGACAACCAGTGGAGGGCACCGGGCGGGGCCCATTTTAATAGGGATTTAGCTTACAGAGATGAAGATAGTTGATTTACGCTAGCTAAGTTGATAAACATAATCAACCAGGTGAATTTATGGTTTACGGAAAATATAGCTAATATAGCTTTATAGTTAATGATGTTAGAAACCAACAGACATAACTGGGGGGGCCCACGTTGTAATTTGAAGCTAGTGAAGAAATACTGCTTAGACAATGTTAAAACGTGGTCAGATAGAACCATCATTTTTACCTGGGTTTGATGACTGCTTGCTGGCTTTTGAGAAACCCAACTTTTAAATGGTTTGAATTTTTGATTTTGCAACCATAAATGAAATATTTTCAGACCCGTTGCTGGAGGGAGATCAGGCCCGGCGGTGCCAGGACCAATCCCGACTCCTTAGCCGCAATAAATCACCTTTAGATGCGGCACGAAGAGACTTACTTGCGAGGTGAGAAGTTAGGTTTAGGACCTACGATGCAGGGAAGAGAACCGTGGTAGTGGGATGATTTTTTGCCAAGAAAAGCGTTGACACATTTTTGAATTTGACCAGCGGAAATGGTGTTTGTTTGTTGCAGCAAAAGTGAGGATTGAAGCAAAAGAAATTGGATTGGATCAAGTTTCGAATTTATTTCACCAGCATCTGACTTCACCAACAAGAGTGGCTCAATCAGTTCTCCCAGATGTGTCACTTGAAATCATCCTTCCAACCTGCATTGAGCTGGCAATAGTCCATGCATGGCACATTTGTGTACGACACATTTGCAACAGGCATGCCCTTTCGAGGCTGGTTGCACAAACCATCACAAACCATATGGCAGGAAAATTTCGTTTAGTACGACGGGTGATTGTGATGGAATGGAGGTGAGGATGGGTTGATCTTAGTTGACAGCCGAAATTGGCTCTTAAATACCAGTGGTACCGCACAACGTGGTGACGAAAGTTTCAAAGATAGGAAAACTAATAGGAAGTGTAACCCGCTGATGGACCGAAAGGTGGTTGAGGCTTCAGCACAACCGGTGGTCCCGGCACAGATTGCAGAAGCCAAAATTCAACAAGGGGGCCAAAATTTTAAAGCCAAAATTTCAAACGAGGGCCCGCCGGAAGCAGCACCGCACCCGCGGACCCACAGTGCTCCTGGCCACACATGCCAGGCAAAGGCGGCACCGCCCCGCCGGATTAGCTGGCTGCCGCTGCAGGCAAAGTTGGTTCGCCGGATCCTCAGGGAGACTGAGACCGAGGAAACATGAGAGTATTCAAAATACGTCCTGTTTGGACATCGCCTCCCTGTTCATTCGCCAGGGCTTTGGAACTTGGAACAGCTTGTTCCATCGACGCCAAACCCTCTGCTACCAGAGAACGGTGCAGCTCTGGTAGCACAACTGGCGCGGGCCTCAGCCCACTAACCGCAAAATCAGAGAGCGGCAAGGGCGACGCGCACCGACTTGCGCCAACCAAGGCGCAAGCCCTGGGTGTCTCCAAGGATGCAGTCCAAGCGTGGCTCCCCGAGCTGCACGCTTGGCTGCTCCTGAAGCCGGTGCATCCGGCCCTGGATGCGCCAACGGCCGAGGCCGATGAAACTAGATGAAACACACAAAAGAAAAAACAACAGACAGTCAACGCTCCACCGTGCAGGCAACACGGGTGGCACGGCAGGCAGAAAAACGGGCTGAGAAAAAACGGTTGGAGGAAGAGAAACAAGCAGAGGCTCGGCCGGCGGAAGAAGCTGTCCTGTCGCGAATGCAGCCAGCCAGCGGACGCGGCGCCGCGGCAGGCGAAACGAAAGAGCCAAGTTGAGAAGAACAAAGCCCGCAACAAGAGGCGCAGAGAGTTGCGCCAAGAAGCACGCCAAAGCCAGGACCCTGAGGCGCGCGGGAAAATCGGGAGAGCCCGAGACGCCCGATGCGTCGCCGACGCAAACGCCAGGTCCGGCTCGCACGCGTGGCCGCCCTGGAGAAAGACAGGAAAAGGAAAGCCCAGAGCTCAGCTGCGCCCCCAAGAGAAAAAGAAAGAAAGCAAGGAAAGAAAGAAAGAAAAAGAAAGAACGCAAAGGAAGCACGAAAAAAGAAGAATTTGGCGAGAGCTTGACGCATCACTAAGGCGGACTGGAGAAGACCAACACGCTTTCCCAGAGGCATAGGCCCCCAGTCACTCCTTGCCTCCGGGCTGATTGGTCTTGTTCTGGCAGGTGCCAGCCCCACCGCCGCGGAGGCTACCCACGGTCTTCTCCTCAGTCAGACCGACTTCAACCAGACCGACGGAGAAAAAGGAAAGCACCTAAAAACAAAAAACGTGGACAGATTGCTGACTTCAGTCTCTCTCTCTCTCTCTCTCTATTTCCCTTTTTTTAATCTATCTCTCCCTCTTGGTATCTATCCATCCATCTATTTACCTAGTTCCTATTTATCTATCTCTCTGTTAATCTCTCCCAATCTACATGTCTTTTCTTTGTGTCTCCGTGCTTTTATTTATTTATTCATTTATTTATTTATTCCTTTATTTATTTATTTTATCTGTTTATTTATTTATTGTTTGTTTGTTTATTTGTTTATTTTTTCTTTATTTTTTTATTTATTTTTTTTTTTTTTTTTTTGTTTTTGTGTTTTTTTTTTTTTTATTTATTTATTTTATCTGTTTATTTATTTATTGTTTGTTTGTTTATTTGTTTATTTTTTCTTTATTTTTTTATTTATCTACTTATTTCTCTATCTATTTATCTACCTCGCTTTCTATCTATTTCTCTATTTATCTCTATTTCTGCCTGGAATAATGTTTTTTTCGTAAAAATAATAGTAATTTGTATATATTAAAATTAATATTAAAAATAAATATTATTACCTAAAAACAAGAAATATTGTTAATATTCGAAGGAAATTTAGAAGTCAAACTTCCGATAATATAGACAGATGAAAAGCAGAGTAGGGCAGAGGTAGAGAGAAGAGAAAGATTAGAAGAGAGAAGAGTAGAAGAGAAAAAGTTAGAAGAAAGAAGATGCAGATGCGGTAGGAAAGTCGCGAAATATTGTGTTTTTCCAATGATTTGTGGCTCCGGAGGGTCGAAAAGTAGGCTCCCTAAAGCGGCGGGTGCGGAGCCAGCTGGCCAAATGAGAGATGAAAAATTGTACGCCGTTGTGGCACAGGCATATTTCGAAGTTAAAATATATAAAACACACCAGCGCCGGACCACTTTTGGAAGTTGAGATGTCAAAAAAGTGTACGCCGTTGCGGCAAGAAAAACATTTCGAAATTAAAATGTGCAAAGCACACCATGCTCGGACCACTTTTGGCAGTTGAGATGTCGAAAAAGTGCACGCCGTTGTGGCGCGAAGCACATTTCGAACTCAAAATGTTAAAAACACTAGGGGTTCGGACCACTTTTGGAGGTTCAGATGTCGAAAAAGTGCACGCTTTTGCGGCGCGAAGCACATTTCGAAGTCAAAATGTTAAAAATACTAGGGGTTCGGACCACTTTTGGAGGTTTAGATGTCGCTTCGCTTCACTTCAGTACACTCCACTACACTCCACTACACTCCACTACACTACACTACATTACACAACACTACAACTACAACTACACAACTACACTCCACTACACTCCACTACATTCCACTACACTAAATTACATTACACTACACTAAATTACACTACATTACAGTACACTACACTCCACTACACTACATTACACTTCACTACACTACCTTCCACTTCACTACATTACACTACACTACACTCCACTACACGACAACTACAACTACAACTACACAACTACATTCCACTACAATAAACTCCACTACACTCCACTACACTCAATTATACTACACTACATTACACTACACTCCACTACACTACATTACACTACACTACACTACCTTCCACTACACTTCACTACATTACACTAGCGCAGTATTTTAGATAAGTCGAGGAGAAAAATCAGAAGACACATTGGTACGAGGCTGTTAGGGCTGCACTCAACTTTCCATTTTGGAAGGAAGTCTCGTAGAATTGTTTTGTTTTTGATGTTGTTAAATTCAAAAATCGGAAAGTTTTGCAGAATAGCTTCGTTTAGCTTGCTGCGCCAAGCAATGTTGTGCCACACCCGCCAAAATCTGATAAGCATGTTTCAAATCTTATAGTGAATTCAAAAGAGTGGTAGACGCATGCAGCAAAATGAAAGTAACGGACGCGCAAAACGAAAGTTCCCAAAGTTTGTATTCGGGAAAAGTCTCAAATTTGTGGCAATTTTTTGGGAAAATTGGGATGGCAGAGCGAAGCCACTGATGGACCGCCAGCTGCTTGACATCTCCTCTCTTTCTTTCTTTTTCCCGAATGCGTAGCAAGGGTTCCCGTTTCACTCTGGGGGTCTGGGGGTTGAGGGTGTGTTCGCTCGACGTTGCGTTCGCGAGCGCAACCGTCCGCAACCGTTCGCAACCGTCCGCGCGAGGACCGTATGGCCGTGCCTATGGGAAGTTCTGCAGAGGTGGTAATTTTTGGAGGTTTCAGACGTGTCGTTGCTTCGTTTCGCGTGGCAGGCGTGGCACTTCGTGACATTCAGACGTGTTCTGGAACGTGTCGAAAGTCGTTTTGCGTGGCAGGCGCAATACTTTTGCGACATTTTCAGAAGATGTGTTGCAGTTTTCGTGGCAGGCGCAGCACTTTGGACGTGTCCATCGCCATTTTTCGTGGCAGGCGCAGCACTTTAGACGTGTCATGTTGCGTGTTTTTTGTAAATCGCATTGGCAAGGCTGCGTCAAGTGGCGACAAGGTGCAAATTCCGTGGCAGGCGTGGCATTTTCTGACATGTGCTGAAAATTGACGGAAGCCTCGCACGAAACATCGATTTTGAGGTTGCAAATTTTCACGTTCTAAGGAAAACTCGTAGGAAAACGTCGATTTTGAAGCTACAAAGTGTGAAAGTTGGAGGAAGTCTCGCACGAAATGCTCGTTTTGGTGCTCCCACGTGTCTCGTCTCGAGTCTCTGGTTTCCCTGTGGCCTCGCCGTGTCTATGGGGGAAGCTGGAAAACATGTTCTTGCGGCATGTTTCAAACTATGAAAATTGGAGGAAGTCTCGTACGAAATGCTCGTTTTTCTGCATCCACGTGTCTTGTCTCGAGTCTCTGGTTTTCCTGTGGCTTCGCCGTGTCTATGGGGAAGCCGCAAAACCTCTCCTTTTCGAAGGTTTCCAAGCAGCTTGTCATGTCGTTTTGCGTGGCAGGCGTGGCACTTTGTGACATTCCAACGTGTTTGATAACGTGTCGAAAATGTCAAAATTGGAGGAAGTCTCGTACGAAATGCTCGTTTTTCTGCATCCACGTGTCTTGTCTCGAGTCTCTGGTTTTCCTGTGGCTCCGCCGTGTCTATGGGGGAAGCCGCAAAACCTCTCCTTTTCGAAGGTTTCCAAGCAGCTTGTCATGTCGTTTTGCGTGGCAGGCGTGGCACTTTGCGACATTCCAACGTGTTTGATAACGTGTCGAAAATGTCAAAATTGGAGGAAGTCTCGTACGAAATGCTCGTTTTTCTGCATCCACGTGTCTCGTCTCGAGTCGTTGGATTTCCTGTGGCGTCGCCGTGTCTATGGGGAAAGCTCCGCACTCCTCACTCCACACTTTACACTCCACACTCCTCCCTTTACACTCCACACTCCACACTCTACACTCCACACTCCACACTCTACACTTTACACCCCACACTCCACACTTTTTACATTTTACACTCCACACTCTACACTCCACAAACTAGACTTTCCACTCCACACTCCACACTCTACACTTTACCCTCCACACTCCACACTCCACACTTTACACTTTACACTTTGCACTCCACACTCCACACTTTACACTCCACACTCCTCACTTTACACTCCACATTCCACACTCCACACTCCGCACTCTACACTTTACACTTTATTAAACTCCTCACTCCTCCCTCCACACTCTACACTCCACATCCCCCACTCACACTCCACACTCTACACTTTCCACTCCCCACTCCACACTCCACACTCTACACGTTGCACTCCACACTCCACACTTTACACTCCACACTCCACACTCCACACTTTACACTCCACACTCCACACTCAGCGCTCTACACTTTACACTTTAAACTCCTCTCTCCTCACTCCTCACTCCACACTCTACACTCCACACTCCTCACTTTACACTCCGCACTCCACACTCCACACGCCACACTCCACACTCTACACTTTACACTCCACACTCCACAGTTTGCACCCCACACTCCACGCTCTACACTCCACACTCCTCACTTTACACTCCACACTCCACACTCTACACTTTACCCTCCACACTCCGCACTCCACACTCCACACTTTGCACTCCATACTCTACACTTTACACTCCTCACTTTACACTCCACACTCCTCACTTTACACTCCACACTCCTCACTTTACACTCCACACTCCTCACTTTACACTCCACACTCCTCACTTTACACTCCACACTTCCCACTCCACACTCCACACTCCACACCCCTCACTCCACACTCCACACTCTACACTTTCCACTCCACACTCCACACTCCACACTGTACACTTTACACTCCACACTCCGCACTTTACACTTTACACTCCTCACTCCACACTCGACACTCTACACTTTACACTCCACACTCTACACTTTACACTCTACACTTCACACTTTACATTTTACATTCTACATTCTACACTCCACACTCTACACTTTCCACTCCACACTCCACACTCCGCACTCCGCACTCCACACTACACACTTTACACTCCACACTCTACACTTTACAATTTACACTCCTCACTCCACACTTTACACTCCACACTCCTCACTTTACACTCCACACTCCACACTTTGCACTTTACACTCCTCACTCCTCACTCCACACTCTACACGCTACACTCCACACTCCACACTCTACACTTTACACTCCACACTCTACACTTTACACTTCGCATTCTACACTTTACACACTCTACAGTCCCCACTCCACGCTTTACACTCCACACTCCACACTTTACACTCCACACTCCACACACACTCCACACTTTACACTCCACACTGCAGACTGGTAACAGGGGAAATATGTACAAGACAGTTCAAATAAACTATTGCAGAAAAGTGTTGTGCGTGACTGCATATCCATGTGTTTTGACATCTGTACCATTAACATACGTGTGAGCATTCGGGTTCGTGGGCTTCATCTTGTTTTTTATCCCATATGCTCCATGTATGGTTTATTTACCTACATGACTGGGTCATTTATAAGGTAAATGTTGGTAAATATTCCATACATGGA